GTTAGGGGGATTGTGAGTCTGAGGCCAGCCTGGGCAATTTAGCAACACCTTGTCTCAAAATACAAAATTAAAAAAGAGCTAGGGGGCTGGGGATGTGGCTCAAGCGGTAGCGCGCTCGCTTGGCATGCGTGCGGCCCGGGTTCGATCCCCAGCACCACATACAAACAAAGATGTTGTGTCCACCAAGAACTAAAAAATAAATATTAAAAAATTCTCTCTCTCTCCCTCTCTCTCTCTCTCCCTCCCCACACACACTCTCTCTTAAAAAAAAAAAAAAATAAGTTTAAAAAAAAAAAAGAGCTGGGCTTGGTGGTTCATGCCTGTAATCTCAGTGACTAGGGGGCTGAGGCAGGAGGATTGCAAGTTTGAAACCCTAAGTAATTTGGCAAGACCCTGTCTCAAAAAAAAACAAAGAAGGCTGAGGGTGTATCTTAGTGCTGAAGGGAGCCTGGGCTCAATTCCCAGGGCCACAATTAAATGAATATTTACTGAAAAGTAAGCTTTTCTCACATTCTTGATAATTGGTCCTGTGGTTGTTTTCCCCAGAAATCATTATTGCTATTTTCTTACATCTCCACCTATTCTCTACTCAAGCAAGCATATAGTTATATGTATTTCCTTTCTCCCATAATCTCCTGTTTCCCTTTTTATACAAATAGGAGTGCGTTGTACACCGTTTTATACCTCGCTTTTTTGATTTAATAATATTTCTTGGCCTTAGGTACAAATTAATTTTAGTTTAGCTCTTTGTTGGATGGCTTAATTAGAGTATGAATTATGTACAATTAACTTCACCCTCTTAAAATTGCAATTTGGTGGTTTATGACAGAAATAAACACTGGTAGAAATCACCACTACAGTTAAGATGTAGAACACATTTGCATCACTGCAAAAAGTTCATCTTTGTCACTCCAATATAGCACTCTTGTGAGGTTCACTCATACTGTTTCATGTGCTAATCATTTATTCCTATTGTTTTGCTGAGTAGTTTTATATTGATATCATATTTTGGTTTTCCATTTACCTTACATTTGGGTTGTTTCAGATTTTGGTTATTGTGTATAAAGGTATTTGGAAGATTTTGAATAAATCTTTATGTGGACATATGTGGAATGATTAGAATTCTTCCTACATAAAAAAAGGAAAAAAAAAAACTTTGTCATAGTGGAATACTTCTGTAATTCCAGTTACTCTGGCTGAAGCAAGAAGGTCACAATTTCAAGGTCAGCCTCAGAATTTAGCAAGACCCTGCCTTAAAATAACTTCAGGAGTTATTTTGAGTTAACTAGGGAGCTGGGTGCTGTGGAGCATGTCTGTAATCCCAGTGGTTTGGGAGGCTGAGGCAGGAGAATTGTGAGTTCAAAACTAGCCTCAGCAAATTAGCCAGGCCCTAAGCAACAAAAGGGCTGCGGATGTGGGTCTATGGTTAAGTGTCCTTGAGTTCAATCTCTGGTACCAAAGGTGGGGTGGGCAGGGATTTAACTCAGGAGTGCTTACTAGCATGTTCAATGCCTTGGGTTCAAACTCCAATACCACAGCAAACAAAGAAACAAAATAAAAAACATACATATACTTTGTCAGAGTCTCAGATATTTTTACCTTTTTTCTTTTAGAAGTTATGTGGTTTTACATTTAGGTTTGTGATTAACTTTAAATTACTTTTATGGGTAGTGAAGAGTGTTTATCCCCTCCCTTCTTACCTTTTATTTAGGTATTCAATGATTCCAGCACCATTTGTTGAAAAGACATTCTTTTCTCCATTGACTCACCATGGTACTTTTGTCAAAAATCAGCCAGACATGGTGGCACATGCCTATAATCTCAACAATTTGGGAGGCTCAGACAGGAGGCTTACAAGTTCAAGTCCAGCCTGGGCAATTTAGTGAGACCCTGTCTCAAAATAAAATAAAAAGGACTGAAGATGTAGCTCAGTGATGTGGAGTACTTGCCTACCATGAGTAAGGCCTGGGTTTGAGGACCAGTACTGTGGAAACAAATCAAATAATTAATTAATCATAAATGCGTGGATCTGGATTTTCTATTCTGTTGATCTCTGTTTGTTATACTGTCTTGATTATTGTAGCTTTAGATACTATATCTTGACATCTGAGTGTCCATTTTTCACCTTTGCCTCTTTTGAAAAACACTTTGACTCTTGTACATAGTTTGCATTTCCATATATATTTTAAAATCATGCTTTTGATTTTACTTTTTTTTTGTACTGGGGAGCTATCCTAGGGGCACTTTATTATGGGGCTACATCCCCCATCCCCAGCCTTTATTATTTATTTATTTATTTTTGTTGTGCTGGGGATTGAACCCAGAGCCTTGTGCATGCTAGGCAAGCACTCTACTAACTGAACTGTATCCCCAGCCCTATTTTTTATTTTGAGATTGAGTCTTGCTAAGTTGCTGAGGCCAGCCTTGAATTTAGAAATTCTCATGCCTCAGACTAGGATTAGAGGTGTGCTCCACCACGCCTGGCTATTTTTAGTTTTTATCTCTGTAAATTTGTTTCTTGAAAGCTCCTTTTTTCCTCTCGTGTTTGCGTTTGTGGTGATTCCTTTCAGTTTTCCTTTCCAGAACATATAGGCTTGGCTGTTATCTTCTAGTAGCTTTGAGTAGTCAGAGTGTCATGGGAGAAGAGATGTCTCTGGAGGACAGATGGAGCTCAACTCAGGACCCTAGGGGTTCTTGGCATACACGACAGAAAGAATTTCGTCATGATCCAAGGCAAAGGCATAGACAGAGGTTTATTTAGAAAGGTAGTACACATTCAAGGGAGACTGCCAGCTGTCTTGGGAATGAGAAGCAACCCTGACTTGGGCTGAGGGTCCAATATTTATAGAAGGGCTGTATCAGGGGCTGGACTGGAGGTGGATTCAGGATGGAGCTGCAGTTTTGTGCCAGTTTTCCTGTGCTTGTGTATTTCCCTCATTTTACAAGGGGGTGGACCAAGGTTTGCAACTTTTTCAGCATCTCATTGTCCTGATCTTGCATTTCAATGGCTTGATGGTGTTTCCCTTATGATTTTGTATTTCTCTTTCCTTTTCCTTAATCCCTGTCTCAAGAGAGCTGTGGGTGGAGGGTAGTAGGTTTTAGCAATCAGTTTGTATTCCTTAATTATCTGTATGACTTCCACTCTCAATTGATCCTGTTGAATCCCTAGACCAAAGATCTTTTGTTCCTCTTCAGAGAGTTATATCTAGTCTTTAGGGGGTGATGCAGGAGCAGTCTTCTGGGTGCTAGTCATTAGAATGGCAATGTGAAATTTTTTCTGCTTCTTTGGAGTCCATTTCATCCCTGTTTCCTTTGGAATATGGTAATGCCAGTTTCCTCAGTTGGGAGTTGTGTGGTATAAATACTGTATTATACTGTCCTCATCATTGTAGCTTTAGATACTGTATCTTGAAATCTGAGTGTCCATATTTCAACTTCTTAGCTGTTTTCATTTTCTAGCTTAGGATTCGGGTTTTCTTGAGTTTGTAAGGTTTTTATTTGACCTCTGTAGCTCCCATATTTTAAAAAAAATTATATCTGCTCTCACTTTTTATCTTTTGGGTTAGTGGTTTTGTCTTACTTTGTTTTAATCCCTGTGTCTGTGAATTTTGGATGGAAATAGATCTTGTACTTAAAAAAAAAAAACTGCTTTTTTTTTGTATATATGTGAACTTTTTTTCCTCAAATAGGAGTTTATTATTTTCGTTTTTTTTTTTTTTTTTTTGAGGGGGGCTATCAGAGATTGAACTCCTTAGGAGCACTTCACCATTGAGCCACATCCCCAGGCCTGTTTTGCATATTATTTAGAGACAGGTTCTCACTGAGTTGTTCAGTGCCTCTCTTTTGCTGAGACTGGCTTTGAACTTGCTATCCTCCTGCACAGCCTCCTGAGCTGCTGGGAGTACGGGTCTACACCACTGCACCTGGGCTCAAATAGGATTTTACCAGGTTAATTCATCTTATGAATTGTTTTTGTATTTTAATCCAATTTATTCTTATGTTAGGAATTGTTTTTGTATTTTAAAACTTTTTTCCACAGCCCCCATTCCATTGGATGCATACTGTTTCATTGGATGAATATATCATAGTTTTAAGGTAGAAATATTAAAATTAAGTGCCTTGTGTTAAGTGAGCTCTGAAAAAATAATAAGACTAAAGGTAGGACAGCATAGAATTATAGAATGTTATATTTGACTGATGAGAGGTAAATGGATGTTTACATCTTTTTGTCTTTTAAAACATTTAAAAATATTTTTTATTTTAGGTGCTGTGTAATGTTTTAAAGCAGATTATAAGGAATGGTTTTATCAGATTTTCATGAGTTATGGTGGCTGAAACATCAGTTCTATCTTGTTGGAAAAGAACTGTAAGTAAACCTGAAAGAATAAGTCGATTTTCAACTATTGAATGTTTTATGTAAGACAAGTTACTGATTATTACTTTTTTAAAATATTTTTTGTAGTTGTAGTTGGACACAATAACTTTATTTTATTTGTTTATTTATTTAATGTGGTTCTAAGGATTCAACCCAGGGCCTTGCACATGCGAGGCGGGCGCTCTATCGCTGAGCCATAACCCTAGCCCCTTACTAATCATTTGTAGGAACCTATTTGGTATCCTTTCTTCTGTTAGTCTTAATTATACACAGTGAATGTTTCAAAAGGAGGATTTTATTTAAATCATTTATTTCTTTATAGTATTTGGTATTGCTCTTATTTTGTGGATTGTACAAAATTTAATTCTTATTTTTTTTAATTTTTCAGAAATGGCAGCACAAAAGAAAATCTATGTTAATAAAGTATTCTGTTAAACAAAGGAGGTTAATTAAGAACTGCAAACCAACAGACTCAGCACACAAGAAACGAAACGTGTTAGCCATAAGACATGTTTCAAATGAATCAAAGTCCAGTAACTATAGATTTCAGAAGAAGAAAGTTTTCAAAACTTTTGTCAAAACAGACAGTTTACTGATAAATAACTCCTCCAGTAACAGAGCTAGGCCTGAAACTAAAATTAATTGAAATTAACAAAACAAATTTGAATGTGAATTAAGTTTCTTTTCATCAAAAACATAAGAAAATATAAAATTAGAATTAAATTTTCTTCAAATTTTTATTGCCTTGTCCAGTGTAAAGCAGATATCAGCACTCATGCCAGCTTTCTTGTGTCCTAGGAATGACAGAAACCTTGCTTGAAGCAGACTAGTATTTTTGTTGAAAATGTATATTAGCATCAGTTAAAGTTGATTTTTTTTTTTTAAGACCTGCTCCTCAGTAATAATACTAAATATTCAGCATTTGCACCAACCAGGACACAAAAATCCTCTTAAAAACTACCCAGCAAAGGAAGACTCAGGAATGATGTCTATTCAGGAGAAATCAAAAGAAAATTCCTCCAAAGTTATTAAAGAAAGTGAAGACAAGCATTTAAAAATAGAAATTCAAGGTTCTCAAAACAATCTAGCAAAACAGTCAGGTTCAAAGGAAACTATAAAGTCACTGGTTAAATCTCCAAAGGAAAGTAAGCTAAATCAGCCTGAATTGGGAACCCGCATGAGTACAAGGTCAGCAAAGGTAGCCTCCTCTGATAATAAAAGTATGTTAACTGTGAAGGGGCAGTCACAAGAATCTACAAAAAAAAAATTATGTCAGAAAAAAATAGCACATGAAACCCCTAAAGCAAATGAGCAGCTTAACCGGAGATCACAAAGACTACAACAGTTAACTGAGTGTTCAACAAGGTCATTGCGTAGTAGAGAGATTCATGGTCGAGTTCAAGCAGTTAAACGGAGTTTGCCACCAACAAGAAAAGAGCACTGTAACAATATTCAAAGTAAATCTAATAAATTTAAAACAAGTCAAAAGCATGTGAAAAGAAAAGTAATGGAAATAAAGTCTGATTGTAAGGAGGATGCAAATTCAGTGGTTGATGAGGTAATAAATTCCCCAAAAGGAAAAAAACGCAAAGTAGAGCATCAGACTACTTGTAGTTCTCAGTACATAAAAGGATCTGAAAAGTGTCTTCAGAAGTCTACTAGAAAAGAAGAAATAAAACCTGTGCCTGTAACTTCTGAGACAAAAAAATCAAAAGTGGCTGCTTCAGTGGTATGTAAAAAGAGTGAAATGAAGTCAGTTCATACACAAGTGAATACTAGCACAAAATCCCAAAAAAGTCAACAGCCATCAGTGCCTGAACAAAGTGTAGATAATGAGTTGGAGCAAGCAGGAAAGAGCAAACGAGGTAGCATTCTCCAGCTCTGTGAAGAAATTGCTGGTGAAATTGAATCAGATACTGTAGAGGTAAAAAAGGAATCTTCACAAGTGGAAAGTATAAAGGAGGAGAAACCTACAGAAGCAAAATTGGAAGAGACTGATATTGAAAGACAAATACTTCATCAAAAGGAAACAAATCAGGATGTGCAGTGTAATCGTTTCTTTCCTAGTAGAAAAACAAAGCCTGTGAAATGTATACTAAATGGAATTAACAGCGCAACTAAGAAGAACTCCAACTGGACTAAAATTAAACTCTCAAAATTTAACTCTGTGCAGCAAAATAAATTGGACTCTCAAACCCCTAAATTTGGTTTATTACAAACCAGCTTTTCACCACCAGTTTTAGAAATGCATCATGTAGTGACTCAAAGTGCATTTTTAGGGACAAAGCCACATGATAAAAATGTAACTTGTGGACAGGAAAAAATGAAAGAAATTAAATCTGAAGAAGTTAAAATTAACGATATTACAGGTGAAATTAATAAAACAACAAAAAGGGCTATTGAAAATTGTCAGTTGGATAATCCGATAAAATCTCCTGACCCACTATTGGATAATCAGATGAAACATTCTTTTGAGACAATACCAGATAAGGTAATCAATTTTCATTATGTGCATTAGAGGTAGCCTGAGTACTTTCTAATAAGAAGTGTTTACAACATACTTTTGCTTGAGAATGAAATCATAAAATTATTAACCCAGTCTTGTAGTGATAGAACTTAATGACTCCTTTAGATGTTTCACCTTCATGTGGATTCATCTTGTGTTTTTTTTTCACCCTTCATTTTTATTTTTCATAGTACATAAGCCAGTTGAATTGTAGCTTTTCTTTTAAATTTACCATAATGATTACTTCTTTTTCTACTAATTATAACCACAGAAAATATATTTTTCTCCCTTGTGTTACTAGGTATTGAACCCAGAGGCTTGTACCTGCTAGGCAAGTTGCTGTACCACTGAAAGATACCCCCCACCTTTTTGTGTGTGTGTGTGAGGGAGGAGGCAGTATAGGGAATTTAACCAGAGGGATGTTTTACCATTGAGCTACATCCCCATCCCTTTATACTTTTATTTCAAGACAAGATCTCACAAAGTTGCTAAGGGTGACCTTCAACTTGCAATCCTTCTGCCTCAGCCTTCTGAGGAGTTGGGGTTATGGGAGTGAGCCATTGCACCTGGAAAAAGTATTTCTTAGTGACTAAAATCTAAAACTTATTCTTGGGTTCAATTTTGATCAAGATTTTAAAATTAGTGCTGGGGTTGTAGCTCAGTGGTAAGAGTGCTTGCCTACCACATGTGAGGCACTGGGTTTGATCCTCAGCTCCACCTAAACATAAATAAACAAAATAAAGGTATAATGTTCATCTACAATTAAAAAAAGAAAAGATTTTTAAAAAAGATGTTAAAATTAATTTTAACTGAGATCCTGGGGCTGTGGCTCAGCCGTAGAGCACTTGCCTGGCATGTGTGAGGCACTGGGTTTGATTCTCAGCACCGCATATAAAATAAAGGTCTATCAACAACTAAAAAAAGTTTTTATATACAAAAAATTAATTTCAACTGAGACAAAGCAACCTTTGTCTAATATAATTGAAAAGTATCTTTAAAAGGGTACCTTTTGAGCTGGGCAAGGTGGTGCACACCACTGATCCCAGCAGCTCGGGAGGCTGAGGAAGGAGAATAGAGAGTTCAAAACCAGCCTCAGCCAGCTTAGCGGGGCTCTAAGCAACTTTGTGAGACCCTGTCTCTAAATAAGATACAGAAAGGGCTGGAGATGTGACTCAGTGGTTGAGTATTCCTGAGTTTAATCCCTGGTACAAAAAAAAAAAAAAAAGCCTTATGATTTGATTTGTGTAGCCATTTTGGATAATTGGCAACTGACATGTCTGAAAGGTATGAATCAGTCTGAGAATAAAATTGTAGTGGCCAAGAATTTTTAAAATGGAAAAAATAAATTGAAAACCATCATCTTATATCTGAAAAGAAACTTTAGTGGTTATCTTGGAAAGTTTTATACTTTATAAAAGCAACTCAGCCCTTCCTGAAGTAAATCATTTGTGGAACACCAATATATAAAACTAATAAGCAGAAATTTTATAGGCATAGAACCCTGGTGCTCTATAATACAGATGAAAAAATTAATTTGTATTAATTTTATAATGAGATAACTGAGTAGTCACGTTTGGTGGCACACATAGGATTAGAATTGAGGTGTTTTAATTTTCAGTACAGCTTTCTTTATACAATATACTCTGAATGTTAAAAAATCCTTTGAGCAAAAAAAGTCTTCATGAGGGCTGGGGATGTAGCTCAGTGATTGAGTACTTCCCTAGTATGTGTGTGAGGCCCTGAGTTGGACCCCCAGTACAGAAAAAAAAAAAGAAAGTCATCATAAGAAAAAAGTTAAGTGACCCTAAAATTTTGAAAATGACTTCATTAGATCTGGAAGCAAATCTGAGTGAATTAGAAGTCTGGGCTTTATGCCAGAAACTATGAAAATATATGATTGTCTGTTAGTCTTTTATATTTTGGGCTGAGAATCAAAGTGAACTTAAAGAGAATAGATACCTATGATACTCTTAGATTTTATTTTCTATACAAATAGTCATCAATTAAAAGATGATTATTCAGCTGGGTGTGGTGGTGCATGCCTGTAATCCCAGTGGCTCAGTAGGCTTAGGCAGGAGGATAGAGAGTTCAAAGATACTGCGAGTCACTAAGTGAGTTCCTGTCTCTAAATATAAACTACAGAATAGGGCTGAGGATGTGGCTCAGTGGTTGAGTACCCCTGAGTTCAATCCCATTATCCTCTCCCCCCCCAAAAGAGGATTATTCAGAAAGATTATATGAAATAGTGGTAATAATTAGAGATAAATAGTAAGCAGTGGTATGAGTACTAAGTTATTGGACTCAGGATGTAGCTCAGAGAAGGATCATTTGTTTATCCATGTGCAGTGCCCTGGGTTTGATTCCCAACATAGGAAAAAAGAAAAAATTATGATCTTTTGCAGAAATGGGGTGGTTTTTTTATTTAGAATTTTTTTTTCCAGGTGTGACTGGAGAGTGTTACTTAAAAATCTTTGCAAATTTAGAAAGCAGAAGAATGAGAATTTAATTCATTGATTTGTGCCATCTGTATAAGAATAGAGATGTTTATGTAGATCACATTATTTTGACCTTTTATAAGATATTTACTGAAAAGTGCTTTGTTTATGCAATTCTCTTAAGAAGCAGGCCTAGAAGCTTGTGTTAAAAAATTTTGTTTTAAAATTCTCTTTTTGGTGCTAGGAATTAAACCCAAGGGCTCTTGACTTCTGAGCCACATTTCAGCATCCCAACCCTTTTTGAGCAGTGTTTTGCTAAGTTGAATAGGGCCTCACTAAATTGCTGAGGCGGACCTTGAACTTGTGCTCCTCCTTCCTCAGCCTCCCAAGCTGCTGAGGTGGGCTTAAAATTCTTGAATGTTTATTCAGAATAAAGTGAGAGTAACATACTCTTTTGTGTCTACCACCTGGATTTGATAAAAATGAATATCTTATTGAGTTACTTTAGGTCCTTTAAAATACAAAATATATATTATAGCTGCTGGTGAAGACTGTGCCTTCCTCTTCATTCCATTCCTCTCTCCCCCCTGAGTTAAACATACTCCTTAAGTTGATTTCAATCATCTTTATGTTTATGATTTTGTGTATGTTTCCATAAGATATACTTAGCTTTGTTTGTATTTTAAGTTTGTATGCATGTATTTGTGTTTGTGTAGGACTAGGAATTGAACTCAAGGAGCATTGTATTACTAAGCTATATTCCCAGGATCTCATTAAGTTGCCCAGGTTGCCCTCAAATTTGTAGTCCTCCTGCCTCAGTCTCCTCTGAGTATCTTGGAGGTGAGGCATGCATCACCACACCCTGTATATATTTTTAAATAATAACATGAATATGTAAAATTTTTTGCAACTTGTTTTTATGCAATCAGCATTATATTTGATACTTGGATATTATAATAGCTATAAAGAAATATACCACAAATTTATCCTTTTCTATATAAGAGGACTTTTAGATTGCTTCCAATTTTTTTCCTCCATTATCAAAAACGTGCTACCTGTCACAGGGTGATTGGGAAATGTGTTGATGACCATATTAGTTCAAGACATGCTTGAATGTCTACTGGTACAAAGAGATTATGGGTTTCCTACTTTAAGGAATTTACTTTGAGAAATCACTTAGGAATTTCTCTTTATTCCCTAAACATTAAAGGTTGAAGTAACATGATCAAACCATTAACTTAGTGAATACTGTCCCTCCCCCTTTCTTTTTTCAAAGAATAGTGCTGGAGATCCAACTCCAGACTGAGTGCATGCTAGGCAAGCAACTCTTAACACTGAGCTGAAGCCCCAGTCCAAGTACTGGCTCTTTTGTAGGCAGACAACAGTTTCATATGATTCTCAGCCAAAATATACAGTGTAAGTTCAATTGTTATTCACATATTACAGGTGAGGAAAGTGAGACTTAGAGATTTAACTAATTTAACCTGAGTGACATTTTTAGTAATGAATCTGTGATTTAAAGTGAGAGTGGCTGGCTTCAGAGCTAGCCAGATTTATACTTGGGGAGGTAGGAGAATGTAAACAAAAACAAAAAACTACAACTCTTAGAACATTAAAAACTTTTTCTGTGGACACCCATAAATTTGCTCTTTTGATTATTTGGTGTCAATATCTGCAGTGCTGTGAAATGATGTTTATAAAGCTAAGCATCCAATGAAACTTACCTGAAGTCTTGGGCTTTTTTAGTTGTAGATGATTACAGTACCTTTATTTTATTTATTTAGTTTTATATGGTGCTGAAGATAGAACCCAGTGCCTCACATGTGCTAGGCAAGCGCTTTACCCTGAACTACAACCCCAGTCCCTTGGGTTGAGTTTTAATTATTAAGACACTGAATTTTAAAGCTCAATTATTTTATGGTCTGCTTTTTAAATCAATAACTTACTAACTTCTTATTAATGGAAAGTAGAGTTGTAGGTAACGTCATTGTTCTTGTTTTTAATGTTCATTTTTTCAAAAATAAACGTTTCAAAGTAATGTTACACATTCATTGTAGCAGTCGAAATACACACAAAACTGTTTTCCTCTGTCATTTCTGTGAGATAACCAATGATGATGGAATTTAGAGTATATTTTATTATTAATAATAATATGCTTTGATAAGATTCTTAGAGACTCAGGAATAAATAGGTAAATATAATAGTGTTTTTGCTCTTAAAAGTTACTACTGATGAGTCAGAGAAATAACTGATTCCAAATAGGAAGTGACAAGGGCAAGAAAGAGGTATTAAAGTAAGTAAAGAAGAATTAGGAAAGATTGGGAAAGGCCTCATGGAAAAGGTTAATTTTTGAGTAATGAATGAGTTGAATTCTTACAGGGGGAAAGGTATTAGTTAGATCAGCACTATCTGTAGAAATATGATGTGTGAACCACTTATATAATTTTGAATTATCTGGTAGCTACATTGATGGGGCAAAAAGAAATAGCTGAAATTAATTTTTTTAATAGGTGAACACGATGTCTTTATTTTACTTTATGTGATGCTGATGATTGAACCCAGTGCTTCATGCATGCTAGGCGAGCGCTCTACCTCTGAGCCACAACCCCAGCTCATGAAATTAATTTTAATATATTATTAAACATGCTGCTATTTCAATGTAACAGTTTTAAAAATTACCAATGACAGATTTTACCATTTTGTGTATGTGTGCTTAAATTTTTCGAATCTGCATAAGGTTCATGCTTATAACATATCTTAAGTTATATTAACCACATTTCAACTGCTCAGTAGTCAGATATGGCAGTGACCACCATATTGGACACTATAGTCTAGATGTGAAGCTCAGAAAAAAATGTAGAGGCAGGCAGTGTATTTGTAGGTATGATAATGTTTTAAATTTAACACGATGGGAGGTAATGGGAGTTGATGCTGAGAGGGTTAATGTATTGAGATAAGCCCCAAAGATTGATATAAAGATCTTAAATTACATTGTGTTCAGAATTTCAGCTTATGTGTGGAATCCAAACTGGAAAGCAGTCCAGTAGAAAACACCACTGCTGTTTCAACTCTGCTCAGTCAAGCAAAAATTGATGGAGGAGAGAATAAATTTCCAGGTAATACTTTGGAAATATTATTTAGATTTCAAAGCGTTTCAGTGACATTTTATTACTGTTAAAGAAAACTCTTACTATATAATTCTTTTTTTTTTCCTTTTTAAGATTACATTAGAGTTAAATTCGTTTTTTTCCCCCTTTTTAAGTTTACATTAGTGTTCACTCCATCCCCAATTTTTTGTTGGTGCATTGTAGTTGTGTGTATTGATAGAATTTGTTGTTATGTATTTGTACATGTGCATAATATAATAATATAATTTGGCCAGTATCACTTCCCAGCATTGTTAAATTCTTCTTAACCATTGCTATATTTTTTTTTAAAATTTGTGATTCTTGTGGTTATAACCTGTTTTTTTAAGACAAAATTGCATCTGTTTGGTTTGTTTAAATACTGCCTTTTGACTCCCCACCAAAATTTCTTTTTTTAAATTTTATATCTCTTATTTTGGTTTGTGAGTTATTCTCTGGAAAAATGTTCCTTAATGAATTCCTTAAGTTGGTGGTAGCAGCCTATTTCTCATACTTTAATATTTGTGCTTTTTTATTTCAGGTTCTTACCTTTAACCTCTTGTAACTCAGTTTTCTATTTCAGAGAACTCTAAATTAATAAACGCTGCAGATTTTCCACTTACATCATCTAAAAGCTTTATTTTATAACCTTGAGAATATTTTTTAAAACACATTAGTTGAACACCTGGATTTGCTCACTTGTATCACCAGAGGATATAAAAATCTCTAATTCCTATTATTTCTTTCTAGTAAAGAAAGGTAGACGTGGGACAAACTGTTGCAGTTGATCATCACTACCATTATCTATCATTTAACTTTTTCTCTGAGTAGGGAAAGAGTGCATGTAATATAAATGAGAAATGTAATCTTAGAAAATAGATTTTTACATTTAGTTATTTATATGGTAAGAATTCTAGAGACCATAGTTTTTTAAATAAGAAATGTTTCCATTTATTTCTTAGAGTTTATTATAATTGTGCAGGCTTTGAAACTATTTTCTTTATTGTTCAGTGCTAGTAATATTTGGTGAAATTAGAGGCAAAGTATTAACCTACTATTATATCTCTTAGCAGCCCTATAGTCTGAGACAGCCTTTCTACCTCTTCTCTGAAGTGTTAGAAATAAGAAGGGAGTTCTAATATTATCAAATGTTTCTTACTGAAAATAAAGAAAATTTCAATGCACTAACTGCTTTATGGATAAATATGTCAAGCATAGCTAGTGCTGTTAAAAAGTTTAGTAAATAACCCAGTTTTTTTTTTTTTATAATTAAATTACAGGCTCAGCTCCCAAACAACACAGTATACTCAATAATCAAACATCTAAGAACAGTGATAACAGGTAAGGTATTTGTTTAATTTAGGGGTAAATTTGAAAACTTAAAGACTTCCTACTTAAGAATTTTGAGTTTACGGGATTTTCCCCTAAAAATTTATGTTAGCCCCCCCCCCCCCTTTTTTTTTTAAATAGGGGATTGAACCCAAGGGTTCATCTGAGCTACATCTGTAGTCCTTTTTTATTTTGGGCTGGGTCTCAGAAAGTTGCCCAGACTGACCTTGAACTTGTGATCCTTTTGCTTCACCAGGTTGCTGGGATTACAGGCATGTGCCACTGCACCTGGCACAAATTTGCTTCTTTTTTTTATATACTTTTTTCTGTGTTTGTACTCCCCAACCCCCAAGTGCTGGGAATCAAAATCAGGGCCTAGTGCATGCTAGGCAACCTTTCTGCCTTTGAGTTACAACCTCAGTCCCCTACTCATAATTAAAATAGTTATTGTTTTATTTTGTTTTTTGGTACCAGGTATTGAACCCAGGAGTGCTTAACCACCAAGCCACATCTACAGCCCATTTTTATATTTTTATTTAGAGACAGGGTCTTGCTGAGTTGCTTAGGGCATCGCTGCTGAGGCTGGCTTTGAACTCGAGATCCTCCTGTCTTAGCCTCCACAGCTTCTGGGATTACAGGTGTGCTGCACCATCTCACCTGGCTAATTGTTTCTTTTAGTTAATGTTATCAGCATCTTTTCTACCTTCCAACCTAATTTTTAAAAATTTTGTTTTCAGTTTCATTATGTGAATTTTCTTTTTATTTAACTACTCTATAGAGATTTTAGTTGTTTCTAGTTCATTCTATTAAAAAAGAAAATAAAGCTCTATAATAAAAACTTACCTTTTTTTGCTTCTGTGATTTGTTCTGTAGGATAAATTCAAAACTATAGGACTTATCTTGCATTGCCTGATTTTCCTCCAAAATGGTTCCAGTTTGTACTCCCAGCAACATTGTTTAAGAATCCTCTTTCCCCACACTCCTGGAAACACTGAGTATTATTGACCTTTAGTTTAAATAAGTGAAACAGCATTTTGTTCTCTCTTTATTGAAATTAAGCAAATCCTTGTATGCCTTCTGAATTACCAACAAATATTAGTTAGGGCAAATAAATTGACTCAGGTGGGTAAAACTATAAAACTTAAAGCATTCAGACTTTAGTAGGTGCTCCAGTTTTTTGTTGAAAATTAGTTCTTTTGATTTTTTTAAAATTTTAATTAGCATTCAATAATTGGGCATATTTATGGAGTATAGTGAGATCTTTCAATACTGTGTCAAATGTAATGATCACATCAGGGTAATTGACACACTTGTCTCCTCAAACATATATCATTTCTTTGTGTTGGGAACATTCAGATCCTTCTTGTAGCTGTTTAGAAATAGATACTTGTTGTCAACCACAGTTACCCTATATGCTATAAACATTAGAAGTCATTCTTCTATTCAGTTGCTGCTCCCCTGAACCTATTAACCATCCTCTTCTTTTTCTCCATCCTAGTCTCTGGTAACCACTATTTTATTTATTTATTTATTTATTTTTAGCTTCCACATATAAATGATTTTATATGATATTTGTCTTTTCTGTGCTTTTTATTTCATTTAACAGCCGTCTTGCTGTAAATGAAAGAATTTTGTCCTTTTTTATGGATGAATCATTCATTGTGTACGTATACCACATTTTCTTTATCCGTTGTTCCACTGATGGACACATAAGTTGATTCCATATTTTAGCTATTATTCCAGTTGATAGCTAGGGCCTTGTGCATCCTTAACATGTGCTCTACTGATGAACTATACCTCCAACCCGCTCCTTGATTTTTTTTTTTCTTTATAAATAAAGATTTATTGAACTTTAGATCTTATGGCTGGGAGGATCAAGGTCATGAGTCTGCATTTTTAAAAGATTATCTTTTTCCCCTTGAAGTTGAAATTTATCACTGTTGCATAGAAAATGTTTTATTTTCAGTGATTTGAAATGATGAAGATCTATAACATTCAATAGTTTTTTTTTTTTTTTTTTTAAGGGAGATGCCACCAAATCATTCTTGGCATAAGTATAATTCCCATTTGGAGATAACAATTCCAAAGGACTTGAAACTGAAAGAAACAGAAAAAGCTGATGAAAAACAGTTGGTTATAGTAAGTACACAACTTGACCTTTTTTGGTTAAGTAGTATTGTGAGTATTTTATTTAGGCAAGGTGTTAAAGATTCAATTTGTTCCCTTTTTTCCAAAGATCTTTTTCATCATTGTAAGGCTTCACCGTGGAAACCCTTCCTGGCATTATTGTAACCCTCCCTGCCAAAAATAAATAGTCCATTCTGTAGCAAATAGTAATAATTCTGTTTCCATTACTTCTAATTTAATTTATAAGAAGTTATGATGCTTTATTTCACACCTGTTACTTTCTTGGATGTGTCATTTGATCACTACCTTTTCATAGTAGTTGATTTAAACATTAAAATAATTTAAGTATAGTATAATTATTATTTCACAATTGCAGTTTACGGAAGGATAAATCAATAGTTAATTTGAAATAGAACATAAGTATTGTATAGTTTGGTGGCAAGGTGAAAAAAAGTGGGAGATATTTTTTGATTGATTAAACACCTAATTTGAATGACTGAGAACAGTGTTAAAAAAATGGAAGGACTCCAAATAATAGGAACACTTAATGTAGTTTCAGACAGTGTAATCAAAGGATTTTTTGAAACTAGATGATGGATTGTAACTTTTAAAAGAATAACTTTCCAAGAATTTTGTGAAATTATTTAAAAATTTTTCAGAAGGCACAGTGAAAGGAAATCTTGTTTTGTGTTCTTTTTTAAAGTATCGTTGTTTTATTTATTTTTTATGCAGTGCTGAGGATCAAACCCAGTGCCTCACGCAAGTGAGGCAAGTGCTCCCCAGTGAGCCACAACCCCAGCCCCCCAAATCCTGTTTTTTTCATGTAATATTTCTATTGTCAAATCAGTGTGGTAACAAACAATCTAGATTTGCAATCTAGATTTGCTCCAGTATGGTAGTCATGTCTGGCTTTTGGATACTTGAAGTGTATGTAGCTTATCAGAATTGAGATATGCTTTAAGTGTAAAAAATGCATCCTTTGTCTCAAAGAAGTTAAAGAGAATGTGAAGTATTTTACTGTTAGGTTTTTAAAAATATTAAGTATGTGTTGGACTAATATTTTGTTAAATGTTATTTCAATTAATTTCATGTTTCTTTTGCATTCTTTAACCTGGCTACTTGAAATGTAAAATTACACTTTTGAATCATATTTCTGTTGGTAGTAGTGCTGGTCGAGAGTTGAAAATGATGGTGTTGATGATGGTGACCCCAGCTAATATTTTTTTCTTTGCATTTTTTTATTGATGCATTATAATTACACAGAATAGTGTGTTTCATTGTAGCCTGTTTCACACATGCACCTAATATATCAGTTTCAATCCTTAGTACTAGTGATAGTTTTTGAATATGTTGTTGTATTGCTTCATTCATATTAACTAAGTTAAGCCTTATAAGAAAAGTATGGGACAGATACTTGTATTATCTCCCATTTTATCAATGAGGAAACTGAGGCAGAAGTGCTTTCTTATTATTCTGATAAGTGCCTGTACCTCCATGTTCATTACCAACAATAGTGAAAAGGTCAAACCAAGTTTTCATTGATAGGTGAATGTATAAACAAAATTTTATATGATTACAAGGGAATATAATTCAATAATCTTAAAAAGGAAGGTAATCCTAACATTTGATACGATATGGATGAACCTTGAGACTATTAGCTTAGTGAAATAAGTCACAAAATGACAAATATTGTGTGATTTTGCTTATGTGAGGTGCCTAGAATAGTTAAATTCAGACATAGAAAGTAGAATGGTGGTTGCTAGGGTCTGGGAGGGAGGGGAGAATGTGAATTGTTGTGGGTATAGAATTTCACTTTTGTAAAATGAAGATGGGTTTTACAACAATATGAATGTACTTAACATACCAAGCTGTATACTTAAAATTAGTTAAGATGGTAAATTTTATTTATATTTTTCACAGCTACAATATTTTTTTTTAAACTACCTGAAATTTATTTCAGATAACATTTGGTAGTAGTTTGAATTCTTTAGAATGAAGTGTCCCATCACCCCCCCCCAGGGTTCTGTTGATGAATTGCCAGATCTGTTGACCATACTGGTCTTGAACTGAAGGATCTTATGCCAGCATCAGCCTACTGAGTAGCTGGAACTATAAGTTCCCAGCTTCCCTTTAGTTTTATAAGTGATCTTTTATTTACCATTTGATATTTCTCTGCTTTTTGAATCACAAGTCACTAGAGATACTGTTATCTTAGATCCTGTTCTTTTGAGTAATTAGTTTAATCTAAATGCACAATTATAAGCGAAAAGAGTAAAGGCATTATTCCCTTTTAATTTACTCTTGAAGTTAGGTTATGTTACTAAACTTTTGTTGAATAAGGATAAGAATTGTTATGCAGCATGAGGTAAATTACTTGAGTATAGAATAATTGTAATCAGTTTTTTTGTGCTTATTTAATACAGAAATGACAAAAAATTACCTTAAGAATTTCTGGTGACATAAAAATATATTTTTTTAAGTAAACTACATATTTTTAAGTAAACTATGAGCTATTAAAACAGACTTTTAAGACATTAAAAGATATATAGTTTATAAAACACTATTTCCTCTAAACTCTAGAAGTATGATTGTTTCAAATATGAAGTTTATATTCTTATTTTTAGAGTATTGGCTATTTGGATTTTTTCCCTGAGTTTGTAATGTTAAAGATATTTCTCTTTTGGGGAGATAGCTTAGTGGTAAGGTGCTTGCCTAATGTATGGAAGTTCCTGGGCTTCATCCCCAGTAGAGTCAAAACAAAAAAAAAGAAAGAAAGAAAGAAATTTCTTAGTTCCTTAAATGGTTGTTATATGCTGTGGAAGGAGTGATCAGGTTATTAAAATGGATATTTCTTAATAAAATTGCATACAGATTTTGTACTTTAGCATCTTAATGTTTATAATCAACATTGGATGCTACTCGTTATAGATAAGTCCTTTTCACTTTATGTTCACGTTATAGCTTTCCAGGGTCATGTTTTAGAATAATTCTTTTGGGAAGAAAGAAAACCTTTTGTTTGTTTTTTGTAAATAGGATGCAGGACAAAAAAGATTTGGAGCAATGTCCTGTAATGTTTGTGGAATGCTTTACACAGCTTCAAATCCAGAAGATGAAACTCAGCATCTGCTTTTCCACAACCAATTTATAAGTGCTGTAAAATATGTGGTAAGTGGAATTTGTGAATTCTAAAATGTTAAAATCAGATAATTGGGTCAGGATCTTAGTGAGATGAATTGCCAAATCGTTGAAAAGTTTCTGATTTTAGGAAATTATTATATAAAGCACATGTTGTATACTGGCTTATTTTAAAACTAAAACAAATATAAAAACCAGGTAATTTATTCTGACTAGTTTCTATCTTGGCATTTTTAATTTATGTTGTTTTTCTAAAAGTTATTGTATCTTTTCTAAGAAATAATATTATTTAACTTGAGTATGTTTCTTTAGAGTTTCCTTTGATTTTAATAATTATTATTGTTAATAAACCTATTTAATATTCACACAGATTGATATAACTTTGTATTTGGGAGCTGATAGTAATATATATCATGTCAAATAGGTAATTTGGGGATTTCCTTTATCTTGCTGTCATAAGAGTTTTTCTTTGATAATTAAAAGCAAAAAATTCCAGTATATTACAATTCCACAAAGCAAATATGTTTTGGAATAAATATATCTTAGTGTAAATGTTTTTTTAATGTAGATGCCTTTGAGCCATAAATGGGTATTATTAATGTTTGTTTCTGGAAATAGCAAAATATTTAGTAGTTTTGAACCATTTCAGATATCTTGTGAAAATAGTAATTTAACATAATTGCTGTTTACCCATATCTGAAATGGAATCTATTTTTATTTTATACATGTTACCTTCAGTACTGTACACTCACATTAATAAGACCTCCAGGATATCTGAACTGAGATCACCAATTCATTCCATATATGCCTTTATTATAGTTATCAGATGTTAAATTATTTAAATGTCTTTATTGGCCTTAGTTACATTCTTAAGCTTAACTTTGGTTGAAGGTTTTGTATTCTTTATTTGATTTCTCTAGTTTTTTCTACTGAGAATAGGTGAGGTTTTCCTCTTTTTTTTTTTTGGTTTCCCTACTGTGGTCATTCCTTGCATTTCTTATTTCATTTTCCTTTTCCATACACATTCTCCTGTTGCTTCACTAAATAAAATACAGTGTGTGTGTGGATATAAAACATTTGATTTGCCATTTGAAATTTGTACTTTCTCGATTTGACTAATAATATCTTGTATCTTGAAAAGAAAAAAATGGTTCTATCAGGTAGCTAAATTATAGAATACTTAAGGGCAAAATTACCTTTTAGGTTATTTTATATACATGAACCTGGCAGATGTCATTTCTGTTCAGTCTGCATTCTGATGATCACTTAGTTTCCTAAATATTTGTAAAATTATGTTTCAAAGACTTATTCTTCCCTAGGAAAATTCTTAATTTCTGAGGGAACCATAAAGAAATCAACTAGAAAATAGGTCTATACTCTTCCAAGGTGCAAGAAGAAATTAAATCAATTTCTTGATTTGACAAAGTATAGCTATCACCTTCTAAGCAAATTCTAACTCTGTTATAAGGCTACAAAGCACTGTAGACACCTAGGGGTCAGTGTCCCAATTGACTCCTCCTCATATCCTCCTTGATGGGACAGAGCTATGGGTTACTTTATTTAATTTTGAAGTAAGCTCAAGAGAAGGAATTGAGTTTCGCAGTTGGTCATTCTTTGCTGACATCAAGATCACTATTCTTACCTTTTGCTGTTTTCAAATGTAGGTATACGTAGAATCTGAGTAGGGACTATTTCCAAAGTGTTGTAGAATTCTTTTTATATATTTAGAGAGTCTAAAAGTATCTTAATGATGATCTGTTGTGATCACAGCTCTGTATTTTAGGTTGTGACATTAAAACATTTATTGAGCACCTTGTATTATGCTTTATACAGACATTAAACACTTGTAAGATGCTAACAAAAACATTTTATCTGTTATGTTTTTTGGTGAAAAGCAAATAAAAAAAAGTCACTTGGTGCCCTAGCTTCAGTTCATGTTAAATGGATAGTGGTCAGGAACTGGAAATCTGCTTGAGAGTATTTAAAAAATAGAATAAATTAGAAAAATAGTGTTACTTTTAAAATTTTAATCTTAATATTCTTTAAAAAATAAACACCTTCTCCTTAGGATAAAACGTCCCCCTAGACAAGTAATAATCATATGGCAATTAGGAATGGCTAATATCCTATTTTTATGTTTTGGTTTTTTTAATATTTATTTTTTAGTTTTAGGTGGACACAATATCTTTATTTTGTTTTTATGTGGTGGTGCTGAGAATTGAACCGAGTGCCTCACACATGCTAGGTGAGCGTGCTACCACTTGAGCCACATCCCCAGCCCCTAATATCCTATTTTTAAAAAGTTAAACTATAATATTAAAATTGTGTTGTCAGCTGAGCACAGTGTAGTAAGTTAGACCTTGTCTCAAAATATAAAATAAAAATGAGCTAGGGATGTGGTTTAGTGGTTAAATTTCATGTACCAATAAATAGATAAATAAAGTAGTCATAGAGAAATTGATGCCCACCGAGTATGATTTTGGTTGACTAAAGTATTTGTTTTTTCTTTTCTGTATCTCTTTCTTGTTGGTTTGGGGTTAGGAGAAAATAGGTAGATAGTATCTTGATTCCTTCTTTTCTGTCTGCCTCGTTGACCCCATTTAGGGAAATAATTATTACTTTTTTCTTTTTAAGAGACAGGGTATCTCTATATTGCCCAGGATGGCTGACTCAGTACCAAACTCCTGGGCTGTAGTGATTCTCTTGCCTTAGCCTGCCAAGTAGCTAGGACTATAGGTATGCCATCCTATACCTGGCTTTAAGGAAACTGAATTTTTCTTTTACTTAATAAACACTTTATGAAGTAGCTTCTTCATGCCTCACTGAGAGGCTAAACTTGGGTTTAGACCTAAGAATCACTTAAGTTTCCTTCACAAACTAATGTATTGTTTCCTAAATCTGTAATGAGAAAGAAGACTTATTTGTTGTCAGGCCAGGAACCTGTCAGGAACTCTTAGAAACTTAGAAGACCCATCTTCACATTCTTGGCTCTGAAATTTTCATTTTATTCTTACAGCATCATTTGTTTTATTGTTATTATTTTTTAAAGATTACTTTTGTGTTCTGAAAGTTTGTTATGTGCATACTCTACTGAAGTAGCAGCTTGATGAAGCAGAGCCCATGATAATCTATTCATCATGCTAAGGTGTGCCTGCCAGTGAGCAGTAAGGGCTCAATAGATACATGCACAATTAAAGAACAAACTTTATTCTGCCCCGAAATGAGAGTTATGCCTCAGTTATCTTCTCTGAAAATGAGAGTAAACCAGATAATTTCTGTAGACTTTGCCAACTTGAATATTTGATGATTTCAAATCTTTGGAAATTAATTATACTATAAACATCTATCTGTGTGGAAGGAACCAATTGTATATATTTTATAAAAGTTATGGTTAGTCTAAATTATTAGTAAAATAGTTCAAATTTGAATTTATTTTGACAATTAGAGGTTTATTAACTGTTTGCCCATGAAATTATATACCTAATTGATTTTATGTGCTGAAAAAGTAGTTCATGCTTCATTTAGAAAAATAGTCAAAGTAGTTTTAACTTTTTTTCTTATTGAGATGAAAGAAGTTAGATTGGCTTTCTGGCACATGTCTATAGTTCCAGCTGCTTGCAAGATTGAAGCAGGAGGATCACCTTAGCTTAGGAGTTTAGGACTATCCTGGACAATATAGCAAGACCCTGTCTCCACACCCCCCCATATGTATGTGTGTGTGTGTGTATACACACATCAGAAATATTATTAATTCTCTTATCAGTTGTTTTTCTTCAGTTTGCACTTAAGGATTCCTGTATCTATCATGCTAAGTAAAATAAGCCAGTCCCAAAAAACACAAAGGCCAAATGTTCTCTCTGATTCGTGGAAGCTAACCCACAACAAAGGACAATGAGGAGGGGAAGAATAGAAGTTCATTGGATTAGACAAAGGGATGTGAAAGGAAGGGAGAGGGAATGGGTAATAGGAAAGACAGAAGAATAAATTAGACATAACTTTCCTATGTTCATATATGAATGAATACACGACCAGTGTAACTCCATATTATGTACAACCACAAGAATGGGTTCCTAACTAGAGTAAGTCATACTCCATGTGAGTATATGTGTCAAAATACACTCTACTGTTATGTATATCTAAAAAAATTTTAAAAATATTTTAAAAAATGTAAGTAATGAAAAAGCAAAAAAGAAAGGATTCCCATAATCTACTCCATATATGAAAATAATGCTTCTGTCACAAAAAACACATCTTTTAGCATTTTAATTTCTCTACTGAAGTTTATTGATTCCTTTTCAGATTTTTAACTTACTCATAATAACAGTTTGAAACTTCTGTTCTGCTAAGTCTGACTTTGACCTATTTCTGTTTTCTTTCCTCTTGATTTTGGGTCATTATTTCCTGTTTTTTTTGTGGCTCCCCCCTCCCCCATTTTGAATAGACTTTAGTTTTTTTGGAATTGTTTTAAATTCACAGCAAAATTCAGCAGAAAGTATAGAGTTCTGTATGTTCCCTGACAACAGTAGCCTCCCCAACTATCAACATACTCCATTAGAGTAGTGTATTTGTTATAGTTGATGAATGTGTCAATGTAGATTGATACATCATTATCACTCAGAGTTTATATTTTATATTAGGCCTCAGTTGGTTTTGTACATTCTTTAGGTTTTGAGAAATGTTTAATGATATATCTGTTATTACAGTATCATAGGGAATAGTTTCACTATTTAAAAAAATCCTCTGTGTTGTACCTCTTCCTCCCTTCGAGTATTAGCTTTTCATCACTGTGACACAATCCCTGAAAAATACAACTTAAAGAAGGAAAAATTTGTTTTGACTGATGATTTCAGAAATTTCAATTTATAGTTATTTGGCTTGAAGTGAGGCAGGACATCTTGGCAGAGGGCTGTGATGATGGAAAGCTGTTTACCTCATGACAGTGGGAAGCAAAGAAGAAGGGACCAGAAACAAGGATTCCCTTCAACCAGGTCCCACTTCCTATAGTTTTCATTACCCTCCAATAGTCCATT